TGGCTCGGGGTGTTGCAAATCACCAATGAAGCACAGGTCCAGTGGCGCGTGTGAAGGGGAGGTGCGACACGGCCTGTTCGCTGCCGCCGCCCCGTACGGCATGATTCCGTACATGCAGGTGGAGGATGTACGAGTCACGCAGGTGCGTAAGGCCCAGCGCCAGCTGCAGGACGCTCTGCTCCGGAGCCTGTACGGCATTGCATCCAGCGGTCATTGCCAGAAGCCGCAGCAGGTAGCGACCGTGGCAGGGGGGCTAAATGGAAGAGGACTGGGATTGCCGGTTGGCGGTTGGCGGTTGGCACGTCAGTTGGGGATGGGCATCCAGGCGGATGAATTGGGTGTGGAGGGTGAGAAGCCGCGTTCTGACGAACGGAAACGTTTTAACAACCTAGTGGTATAATCACCATCTGCTGCTGTAATGTCGTATGTGCGTCCCTTTTGTTATTATCGCGGCCGCAGGCGGTTCAGGAGGCCTTACGTAAAGCCGGGGATTCAGTGGTGGAGCGATTGGCAGCAGTACTGTACGGCGCACGGCAGCCGCCGTCACCAGCGGGAGCGGGGGCGGCAGTAGCTGCTGCTGCACCCTCCAGGGTGGGTGTCCCTTCTCCCGGGCCGTACACATCTCCGTACACTCTCGTCCCCCCCTAACAATCAACCATTAACCCTTCCCGCGTTCCACTGTGAGAGCTGTGAAGTTGCGTTTTGACCTTTCTTTGGCAACAAATACATCCCAGGTTCACAGGTTCAGGACGTCCCCACGAACTTCCTCTTTCTTTGTTGTTTTGTTTTGTCTTGTTTAGTCTTGTTTCCATCGTGTTCATGTCGCCATCAGGAACAGTTCACCCTGGCCGCTTCCTGCGCCGCCGCCTACCTGCTGTGGCTGCTGGCGTCCGGGGACTTTAGTGCCTCAGAGACCTCCCAACTCAACATCATGCGGACCAGAATGGGAAAAGATGCGCCCGCGCAAGACGAGCGCGGCCACCGTGCCGCCGCTGATGCAGGCATCAATGGCGGTAGCCGGTACGACACCAAGGGCTTCGGTGTTGTACCAGCTGTTGCGCACCTGTTGCTGAACCGGCTTCCTGGCTGGAGGGACCCCAACTTCGGTGACTGCGTGTCGGCCGCTGGTACGACGTCGCCGCTGCCGCCACCGCCAAAGCCAGCCGTGCATGGAAAGATGCATGGCGGCCGCGGCGCCACCAATGTTGCACTCGGCCTCGTGCAGAAGCTTGGCGCACAGTACGGCACCTCCATTGCTGCTGACACCGCTGCTGCAGGCAGCGGTGCGGCAGTGGCCATCGCACAC